GCCAGTCACAGGTGCTGGCGAAACGTTACGAAACAAAACTTCCAGAACACGGCCACACAGCCCGGAAGACCCACACCAGCCACTGTCAAGATAATCTTTAGATGGTAGCTAGTCAACTACCTTATGGTTTGCTGCCATCTAGTGGTCATCTGGAGGTTTGCAGCTCAGATATGGTAGCCCTCCCTAAACTCTATTACTGATCTATGTAAAAGTGCAAGATCACTCTCAACTCAGGTCCAACTCACCACATCTGGGCTCCATTGGAATGGTGAGCACGGTCTATTAGCACATGATAGCACAAAAATGCCTACCCTTTGTTGCGTTGGGGAGAACAGAAACACAGTACAATGTTACAGCAGGAACAATACTCTTCCATTGCTCCCAATAGTGATTGACCTACCGTGTGGACAGCAGCAACAACAATAGCACGGCAAGATTATATTCTCCATTTAGAGCTCCTATTGCATTGCCGTTCCCTGTCTTTAGGTATATGAATGTGACTGTTCTGAAACATTGCAGGATTGATGTTTAACTTGAAATTCAAGTTCTGCTCCCCCATCCCTAGATTTAACCCCAGTTCTTCAATGGTCTCTGACAATCACCAATATTCTGAGGTCAACTTCCTCACCCTGATTCCTCCTAGATGAGTTAGATTACAATATTCCCATTGTGCTGACTAGGAATTGTGGTCTACCTTTGGAGAGCACCAAGCTACAGAGCCTGTAAATCCTATCAGCGGCTCAGGATCTCTCTGGCTCTGAGTTGGCAATGTTTCCCCCTCTGGTCCTTGCATAGGAAATATTTTAGCAACTCTGACATCTGTGGTTCTGTAGAAAGCAAGTCATACTGGGTGACCAATTTCACCACCATCCAGAACTAGGATGGGCGGGGTGTGTGTGTGTGAGAGAGAGAAAGAGTGAGACTTTGGAATTTTCAAAGTCAGCTTTCTTTTCTACTAGGTTCAAGTTTTGCTAACTACAGCCAGGGGCTCAAAAGTAGCTCAGCGGTCCAGAGAAAATACCCATGAATATCTGCCAAATATGAGAATTCACTTTTGTTACCAAACATATGATTACAAGGCTTTCATAAATTCATTCTTCATTTTCTTCGCCAAGCTTTCTTGATTAGAGCAGACTAATTTAGGAAGAAAAATTCATTTTGCATTTTAATGGAGCTTATTTTAATTGTTTTAAATTAATTGGCTTTAATTGCTTTAGCTTTTAATTGTTACTGTGCATTTTAAAATGGACGTTTATAAGTTGCTTAGAGCCAGGAATATATAAATTGTGTAATAAAATAAGATTGAAGAAGTTGCTCATGTTAAATGATTGGGAGCTAGCAATCCTTCTAGACCTTCTGCAGGTCATCCAGTGATCTGGTAATGGATTCCAATCTACCTTCTACCAAGAGCTGACCTAAAATTGTCTAGATAAGCTTGGCCATTCATGAGCAAGAGCAACATCTTGATGTAGGCCCTGATTAACTTTATCTTGCATTTTCCCACAAATCACACTTGGTGTTGCCCTTCTGAGAAAAGTTCAGTTGCAATTCATGAAGCAACAAGCCCAAGCAGCATGTAAATTATTTCCAGGACACCACTCCAGCAATAGGGAGTGGCATTGTAATTACTGACTTAAATGAAAATAAAGAAACTAAATCATTAAGACTGAATGAGAATTTTAGTGTAAGGATTCTGAGAGAGATAACCAGTCATTAAAACCAAGATAAGTTTCCTTTGAGTAGAGCTCAACTCCTGATGATTTCATGGACACATCCATGAAATTCTCTTGGCAATAACATGGATGAATTTCACCATAGCTTTCTAGTTGGTTAGTTTGTTAATTTACCTTCCAGTCTAGCTTACAGCCCTAGACTTTCCTGCTAGTCTCATATCCAAGAACCAGCCAAATCCAGCCCTGCTCAGCTTTCTGAAATCAGCCATGGTGGTCTAGGAGTGCTGGGACAACCACACCATTTAGTGGACAACAAATACGTGTCTGACAACAAGAACTCTGTGCTTTGTGCCTGATGCAAGTTGTGTGATCTTTGTTTTTATCTCCATCTAGATACCTTCGGAAACTTACCCATGTAGTCCTTTCAAATATAGAACCAGACTCTACTCCTTTGATCCTGACCTCATCCAACCTACCCTTGTAGAGCAACCTGATCCAGCTAGCTTGAAGAAACAGTGCCCTTATCGAAGGAAATTGGAAAAGGCAAATTCCAAGGCTGTAAAGAAAAAGTAAGGGATGGGATGCTGAGTTTCTGTGACCAGTAGGCAGGCAAGACAAGTTATATTTATTATTTTTAATAATAAAGCTTTCCATTAACATTTGCCACCTGCAATGCAAAGAGGGCTGATGTTACCCGTTGGTAAGCTGACCCCTGGCTTAGGGTCATGATGTTCCATGCCCAGACTGAAACAGCACACACAATGGATGGTACAGCAAACTAATTTCCAACAATTATGGTTTGGTCTTTCGAAGTATGTCTAACCTTCAGAAAATAATCCCGTTTCGACTAATGGAAACAATTACTCTGAAGAGGAAATTAAAGTTATCCTTTAAACTTATCAGCTGGACATAGTGGGCGTGTTGTAGTCCCAGCACCTCTGAAAGGTGCCCAGTTGGGGAAAGCAGCTTCCAATAATGCTACAACCCCCTTTTTCCAGATTGCTCATCTAAGGGGCACGTTTTTATTTTTACTTGGAAGGGTACAAAAATATATACTTTTGCCCCAAATTTTGAATCAGAAGTAGTATGCTTCTCTAGAATCCAGTACGTGGTGCTGTAGGACATATTACAGAGACCATTTTTTTTGCCAGAGAGCTTGGGCTGTGGTCCCATTTGAGGAGTTAATAAGCCACCTTTTCAGGTATGCAGATTGAGCTGTCTGTGCGAGATCCACCTCACTGATTTCATCCATGTTTGTATTCAGTGGAGGTCTTAGTCTTGAATAACAATGGGCTGCTCAGACGCTGATCATATAATACGCTGCTGATGTAGCACTTTCATGACCGTTTCCATTGTTTTTCAGGACATGAGAGGTCAGGATACTGTAAGGACACTATAGTTAGGATTATATTCATCGCCACTTGGTCTTCAGTTGACCAAGGACCCTTTCTCACCAAGCTGAGTACAGTTTTTGTCATGAGAAAAGCAGCTTAAAAATCTGCCAACATGGCACTAAGAGAAGAATCCCATTTTCAAGATTGGCAGAGTGGGGTGGGGTGGGATGGGGATGGTCCCTTTTCTACAGGAAGAAAGTCAAACGTTCTGCTCCTGTGGCAGCGTGGGGATGGAAAATATTGTGCCAGTGGATCTGTTTGTCTAGTGGGAATACAGCCAGGTGGCTTAAAATGGAATCATGTGGCTGGAGTAATGGGGAAAACACAAATGGCATAGAGAGAAGCACATCTATGTCAGGTTCTACGTTCCTTTAGACTGTGGTCTTTCCATTGTTGGCTGTGGAGCTTTATACCAATCCTGGTCCTGATGAAAATAACTTTACTCCCATTAACTGCAGTGGAAAGAAGAAAATGAATGGGGGGGGGACCCCAACCACAAGCACACTCGTGAGTGTTCTGTCCACATTATAATAGCTGAGCATTGGATTTGGACTTGATGCCTAACTAGAGCATGCTACCATGAGTACATAAACTCCATGAAATAGATCACCACTCAGAGGAGAATTCAAATCTCCCAGTTATTATCTATTCAGGAAACAACATTCTTGCTTTCCATCATCAATTCTGATATTAGAATAGATCATATCTGGGCTGCAAAAATTCTGACAAACCACTAGATGGCAGTACAGAGCTACCGAAAACTCCAATTCTTTCCTGCCATGTAGTGGTCATATAGCTGAGATCTGGGAGAGAGAATTATTGTGGGACTATCCCCAACCTATTCCAGATGTTTTGGGACTGCACTGTCAGTAATTCTTGGCCATTCCTGATGGCCTGGACTTCCAAGAATTGCCATCCCATCTTCTAAATCACTGATTCCCAACTTGTGATCTAGAGACCTCTAGTGGCCTATGAGGGCACTGCAGGTAGTCTCTAGTACACATGCCAAAATAATAACAACAGCAACAACAATAACAACAACAATAATAATAATAGAATAGCCAATATTTCCTAGAAACTGACTATCATAAGATATTGACATTCTCACCTGAAATCTCAAAATACTTCAAGAGGAAAAACCAGCATTCATAAGATTTGGCAGTCTATCACAACTGTAGCTCTTATTATATATGAAGTACAATTATGATATACTTAATTCATTTAATTTTTAAAATACAGTTTTAGAGAGGCATGTTGTGCTATGATTTACATGGTGATGTTTGTGTGATGTAATGATCCTCCCTAAAGGAAAAGAAAGGACAATACAGAATTAAGTGATCTATGGCTTAATTATATATTCTAAATTTCTGTTTGCTGGGACGATTTTTTCCCCTAAAAATATCTTTACAAGACAAGGAACTAATTTGTAAAAAAGTTATAATGATGTCTTCTTTTTTCATCCAGGTCTGAGTTTTTACTCTCCAAGTTTGTCAAGTTAGCAACTCTTAAAAAAAAAGAGATTTACATTTGGAATGAAAAAGTGAAACCAGAAAGAATCCAGGTTAGGAGAACAAAACCTTACAACAAAGCATTTTTCAAGAATATTAAGTTTCCTTGCTGTAGGCCGTATTTTCCAAGCTGATGCATTCCACATTTGTTAAACCATAAGACAAATTACCCCCAGCTAATATGGTCATATCAGTTGGCTTTAACTCATCCCAGATGGAGAGCATCAGGCTGGGAAAAGTCTGGTGTAAAGCCAGCATAGTAGTAGTTAAGATGCTGGATTAGGAGTGGGGGTGCCCAGTTCCAGTCCTCTGTTAGAGCCAGCTGGGTGATTCTGGCCCAGCTACACTTTCTGGATCCTAGACTGGGAATTCGAAAAACGTCCCAAAAGAAGGTAATGGTGAGCCACTTCTGAAAATGTGGCCAAGAAAACTTCACAGACCTGTGTATGTAGTCACCAGGAGTCCAGACTGACTCAGAAACACCAGAACAACCAAACAGACAAACTGGTGAGCTACAGTCTAAATGACCAGGACAACTTTGCTGAAACAGCTGCGTGGTAGGCATTGCCCGGGGCAGGAAACCTTCTCCGCTAAGGCTACTAGATCTTGGCAGCAAAAATCCAAATGATCCTGAGATGGCAGGAAAGAGAGTTTTCTCAATTGTTGCCAGGAAGCCACGCAGATTACTGCAGTATATTAAACAAACAAACAAACAAACAAACAAACTTTTGCTGCCATCTCAGGATCATCTGGATATTTACAGCCAAAATGTGGTGGCTGTTGTAGATTAATCATGTGCTTGTGATCTGCAAAAAGAGATAGAAAAGGAAAGCTCCTCTGCAAGGAGTTTAGCTCAGCTCCTCTGCAAAGGAGAATTTTAGCATCTGGAGCTTTTTAACTTAGAAATAGAACAATATAGAGGTTTTCTTCCTCTCTCACAATACAGCAGGGATTGGACATTTTCACCATCTTCTCCTTTCTTTTTTAATACAGTCGCATTTATCTGATTGACTGACTGATTGATTGACTGACTGATTGACTGACTGACTGATTGATTGCAGGTTCTCATAGAGTCCTTGGCATCTCCTCTGAAACTTGAGCAACTCTATGCAGCTCAGGTAAAAGAAAGCACTTAGTAGATACAACCTTTATTAAAAGAAAGAGGGAGAGTTTCTGGATGCTTTGAAAAAGATCTGCACATTCCACATCAGAAGTCATACTACAGTGAAGTCCTTTGGCTGGAAGTGAAGTATTGTCCATGCAGAAACATTGTGGTTTTAAGATTTAAATCCAAAAATCTCTCAAATATATAATCACACACTCCTTCTAGCTTCAATACATCAGTTAACAAAGAAGTTATTTATTTGGAACTAACTATGCAAGACTCCAGAAGGGCCACTAAGAAATAATAAAGGAATGCAGAGCACTCTTAATCTTTGCTGGCATCTTGTGGTGTAGACTTTTACAGCCAAGATCTGATGCTCTCTCTCTCGCAATCTCTCTCTTTCTCCTTCCCTCCCTCCCTCCCTCTTTTTGACTCTGGGAATCTTTGTTCCAAAACCATTATTAGAGAAACATAAACTTGATATAGGTTAGGAACTGGCCATTTTTTCAGAACCTAGATGTTATCAAGTGATCTTGCCCAATGGCCTGCTGTCTTCCCCATCTTCTAGCAGCATGATACCTTATGGGATCTTGTCTGAGAATGCTGAACTCTGATGACATCTCATGTTAGTATTTTTGTGCCTGATCACCAGAATCCTGTGAGATTCAACAATCTTGCAGGATTTCAGCTGTTTTCCTAATCATTAAAACAATATTTGATCTGGTTTTGGCAAAGTCTGGGAGATGGGAAAGAGGGTCAATATTACTGCATTGACTACGTTCATCCTAGTTTGTTCTTAGCTTCAGACTTTAAATAGGGTTCTTGGTTTGTATGTCACCGTAAACAAACTGTGGGCAGAGCTCTCCATGGTTGTTGTCTGGCCTTCCCTGCTGGCAGGAGAAACTTGTGGAAGTGTTCGGCGCAGCTGCTTCTTCAAGAGCAAAATGGCGTTCAGAACCGACTTTAGAATGGACTTTTCCTGCTCAGAGGAGAGAAGTCCACTGGGAAAGAAATAGAGCCCAGGCCTGACCCAGCTGGTGAAACAGCAACTCAGAGAGATTGTGTTGAGTATAAGACAAATTGCGTAGCCAGGATGGAATGGTTTGGATGAGAATGAAATAAAACAAAGCAGGGATAAAGAGGTTGTCATGTCCAAGACCTTAAAGATTGTTTTCCAGAATCCAGTAAGAATGTGACAGAACTTTTCCTTCCTTTATGAATTCCAAAGAGCTAATTTTACTGTAGAAACATTGCTGGAAAGGAACAGCTTAACTTCTAATTTATATGTCTTTCTGACTTCTCCAACCAGTTCAGATCTGAAGTATTGAAACAGGACATTAGAACAATTGCTGAAAGTATTATCCTGAACACACATTAAGGAGGGAGCTCTGTTAAATATTTATTTTATATACTAATTTATTTATTTACAGCAAGGTAGTTCAATGGCTTTCAGACTTGGAATTTCCTTATAATGTTTGCTACATCACACATGACCTGTGCCATCGAGTTATAATTTGCAGCCTCTGTTTGTTTTGCAGTAGCTGCTATAGATTTCCACCCACTCAAATCTTGATTAATCACTCATTATTTTTATGCTTGCTTCTTTTAATTTGGGATATTTGTAAGTTATGTGAGTGCATTAGAGAAAAAAAGAAAAGAAAAAAGGCTGACCTTACATTCTGTTCCCCCAGAGGCTCTTTTTTGCTCAGTAGAAACCCGCTTTGATGACTACTGCTCAGTTCATATTAGGGACAAAATTGAGTTCAAATTAGGGACAAGGTCTGTTGTCAGAAGAGACAGTAGAATACAGAATAATCAAGGTCAGTTAAGTGTATGTCCTTTCATAGCCTCTTTGGAGATTAGTCCTCAAGCTTGTGGTGTATTTAAATCCCCCTCACCCCCCAAAAAAACCTCCTTGAAGTTTCCTTCCCTTACCTGGAGCTGAACTGAAATTCTGTAGGAACTGGAAGAAACTGTCTTGGACACCTCTACTTGAGGACTCCATGGCAGCCTGAAAGCACCTCTGCATTTCTGTGGTCCCACAACTTCTGCATTCAAGAACTCAGTCAATTTCTTTGTAACAGCAGCAAAGCTAGCCTTTCCTTGTCCAGCATTGAATTTGTGAGGGTCTATTATCCTCACTGACTGGAAGTTTTCCTTATCTCCTGGCTTCTGAACTCAAGGCAATCATTAGCCTCTGTAGCCCCTGGATCACTTTCATTTAGAACATTTTTCTGAGGAATTTTTGTTTCAAGGCAATAGCTGGAAAACCACCACAACACAACAGCCAAGCTGCTGAGGAAAAGGGGGAAGAGGATCCAGCTCTTTCCAGCGTTGCCCCTGCTCTCTGTCTGGATTGCTATGCACCCAGGAAGAGTTGCAAGGATATGGCAGCAGTCAAAAACTGCTTGGTTTGGTGTATCCAAGGAGTTGGTCCTCTACTTTTGCTGCTGAAGCAACAAAAGTAGCATGGCTAGAGCCACTGTGGAAATGTTTGATAAAAAAACATTGCTGACATGCTATTCTTCCAGCTTCACAGCCTGCAATGGTTTCTGAACAGAAACAGAAGAATGGTTCCTTTGCAGCCAGCTAGGTTCTTCCTGTAGCCATCACTCAGATTTCTTTTCCAAATGATCAGACAAATGCACGCTACAGGCATTGAAAATATGGATTGTGGGTGCTGTCTTACACTTTTGTGTAGAATGGGGGCAGGCAGTTTTTGTTACTCCAGGCATGGCAGTTGTTCTGAAGAAAGGTACTGATTGTAATTTTTTTCACTCTCTTAGTAGTCAGCTAGAGGGACCACTGATTGGCTCATTGTATACTCCATGTTTCAAGGTGTGGCATGGAACTTCTTCTAACTTTTATGGCTGGTCTTCCTAGGCTCTTGGGCACCTTGGGGTTGCTGAAGAATCTGTTATATCTGCACTTTACAATATTGTAAGTATAATCCCTTTGGATTCCTCTTGCAGTTTTAGAGAATTTCAGAGTTTCTTAATCTTGCATTCTCACATTTCTTTGGATTGTTCACTTGTACCAGTGATGGCTAGGAAGGATGGGAGCTGTAATCCAGTGTTATTGATCCATGATTCTCCATCATTTGTGCTGAGCAGCACTTTTCAAGCTTTGAGACCATGTTGCAATGCTGCTTATGTGGTCCTTGAAGCAGGGCAGGAAATGAAAGGTGATGATTGAGACATGCAAGCCTCCCATTTCTTATATTTATTAAAAAATGAGAACATCTTTAAAATATGTTTGAGAACTAGAAAACACAGGAAGCCTGCTAGGCATCAAGGAAACCCAGTGAAGTATTGCCGTGTCCATCGGTTTATCAGGACAGGGAGAGTGCCTTGCCTTGCTCTTGACCCAGGTTGATGAGGAGAAGGATGAAGGAAAGGAGGGAGAGTGGCAACTTCGTATCTTCTAAAATACCTAGTTAGGCCTTCAGTTATCAGATGTAAACAATGATAATGGCAGGGCTTTCACAGTAAATTGGCACGTATGTAGCAGTGTGACCATTATAGGGTCAAATATAGCATTTCTCATCATTATGGGCTGTATCAAGACATAGGTTTTGGATTTCTCTTTGCAACTTCTTTTAGATTCTGTCCTGGAGGGGTAGTAATTTAATACCTCACCAGTAGACCCCTTCCTCTGCAGTACAAGATCATTACGACAGGATTCCACCAGCGACATGCCCTCATCTATCTGACTGGAGAATTCATAGCTGTTCTGCCAAGGACTTCTCCCTTTGGCCCAGCCCTCCAAAAAACAGAAGGGAAGGTGCCTTGCATTTTCCTACCCAAAATTAGCAATATGGAGTTTACCAAACCATGAGTTTGAAGATGCCCGCAGGGAGGGGGCAAGCACAAAATGGTGGAGCTTGTATTGTGACATCACAACAAACATTTCATCATTTTGACATCACTGTGATTTACAGAATACAGAATACTTTAATGGCCAAGTATAAAATATATACAAGGAATTTGTCTTCGGTGACAAACAGAATACATATCTCTGCTTGTGCTGCCCCTGAAACTGTGCATCATGTATGTGGGGAAGATTTTAATGAGAAATTCCTTTAGGAAACCAATAAGGCCTATCTTTAAATATAGAAAGGGGTTTACTGGAAAAGGAGAAGGCAGGAAAAATAAAGGCAACAATCATACACAATTTCAAACAAAATCTTGGCTTTGCTAAACTAGTTTCTCATTATTAACTGCTTGAATAAGATCTTGGATTTCAGAACCTATTCAGAGTTCATTGCAGAAAGTAAAATGGAGAGAGATTGGTGCCTGGAGGCTTGTTCAGTAGGCTCTCATTTCTTCTTCTGAGCTTGACTGTCAGTTTTACAGAATGAGAAGGATAATTGAAAGCCAGCCCTTTTCAGGAGTTTGACTTGTTACTTTCCCAATCCAGCAAATGGCCTGAGGCTAGCTGGTAAATCAGAAAACTCTCTAGTGGCTGAATTCACTTTTCTAATGACCCTTGCTTGGAAAATAAAAGCCAGGACTAATTTTAACCACTTTTGCATTGGATAAAAAGGATCACATGGTGAAGCCTTTTGCATTAATAGAAGCAGGCCTTTGAACATAGGGCCATTTTTCGCGCGGGGGGGGGGGTTGCTATTGTGCCATTTGAAAAGTTAGGGGTTGGACACACCTGACTTATTCCACCAAGGAATATCTGATTTGATTGGAAAGCACAAAATGGGGAGACTTATTTATTAAGAAAAAAACAGAGTTTCTATGCAAAAGTGGTGACCAGACAATCTCAAAGTTGCACTTTGGGATGAAGTTTGAGAACTGGATATAGAAATGGAAGATTGGCAGTGCCTCAAATGAGATTCCAGTTGAGAAGAAATATTTCTGTGGGTTTCTGAAATTTCAACAAAACCAACTTTTGTGGGCCCTGTAGTTTATTGTGACTGTACCACCAGAATTTGGTTTCCTATCATTTTATGGTGGGGAATACATGTACATACATACATACATACATACATACATACATACATACATATATAATGTTAACACAATTTAAAAAACATCAACCCTCCTCCCCTTCCAACTAAGCAAAAAACCAAAATTATAAATAAACCTAGATAATGGGTTTGGCTCAGCTCCACATACTGTGATCCACAACCTGCCCCAAATAATTAAGTATGGCATCTGTCTCCAAAACATTGTCCCCCTCTACTACCAGGCCCACCATGATAGAGCAAACCCTGCTGACTCCAGCCTCTCTTGCCTTTGTATTTTTTTTTTTAACACCTTCCCCCTCCACACACACAATGTGTAGACCTAGGACTGGGAAGTAAAGCACAAGACAAAGGAACTGCAGAACCCTGCTTAATTTTCCATTATGCCTCTGGGCCTTAATATGGAGCCCAGAGGCATTATGGGAAACATTTAGTCACATATTAAATGTCACACCAGTTGCTGTATTTGGTACAGGTAGTCCTCGTTTAGCAACTGCCTTGTACAGCAACCGTTTGCAGTTACGACAGTGATGGAAAAGTAAGTTTGCAATCAGTCTTTGTGTTTACGACCTTCGTAGGTCTGTAAAGCAAAGGAAAGTTGAAGTAAGATTGTAAGCACAGTCATGGTTTCACTTAGCGACTGCTTCACTTAACAACTGAGTTGCCGGTCCCAGTTGTGGTTGCTAAACAAGGGCTACCTGTACAGGTGAGCATTTTCCTCTTAGATTACGATGGCAAAAACCACAAGCCCAGGAAAGGCTGGCTTTATCTTGAAAATATAAAATATCTTACGGTACTGATAGCTATTTGCTATTTGCCACTTGTGCACCTGTTCTGTTCTTATACTACACAGTATTCTGGGTTGGACTGCAACAAGTGAATTTGAATCCTTCCAGTTCTTTGCATCTGTGATGTTTATGCAGGATGTCTTTTTAGTCTTATTAATACTTATGTTCTCAGGTTCAGGAGTGTGACAGTCCTCCTTTGCAGTATGAGGCAGCCCGATCTCTGGCTTTGCTTGGTGAGTGACTTTTCTTCTTCTTTATCATGGACATAAAGACCTCCAATGGAAAGGCATTAGATTGATTGGGGCTGCTGATTTTAGATTGTTCAACAGGTATCAGCCTTACCAGGTGGACCAGACAGGAAACACGACCAGATGAGCTAATTCTATTTCATTATAAAGCTACAGTAACAGAATCTTGCAAGTCTAAAAGTACGGTTCTCCCACCGTCTCTTTTACAGCCCAAGAACTTAGAGAGGGTCCCTTCTGAGCTTCTTGCCCCACCCACTATCCAGCTGCGGGCTACGCTGTCTCTTATCTGACCGTTCCCTAGGCAGTGTCTCTGGGCCCCGTCTCCCACGATCATTCCCACAGGGCAAAGATTTCTCTGCCGGCCCTTGCAATTCTGGGATTTTTCCATAGCCTTTCTTTAAAACAGGACATTGCTATAAACAGTGCTCATTGCAGCTAGTTGCCTTGTATCATGTATTACACCAGGCGAATTCATTAAGCATTGAAAATACAGTTACTCGTGGAAGGTGGTGGGGTGGAGGTGTACACAAAACATTGAAGCAAATTTAAGCCAGCCCTCTGGAGAGTGATGTCTCTTCCTTCTAAACAGCCTTTGGACTGAGGCAGAACTCTTTATTGATTGTGTGAAAGCTCAAATGATGAGAAACAGGGCAAAGCAGGGATTTAAGCTGAGAGACAGCACAGGCATAATTTTTATTGGAGTCTCTTTCATTACAGAAGTATCCTCTGGACTGACATTTTTTACAAAAGTGATTGCTGCCTGGCAAGCATCCTTGAACGAAACAAGTGCAAGATCTGTGGTCTTTCTCAGGTGGTTTAATGCCACTTCCCAGAGCATAGGGGTCTAACTGAAGGAAAAACAGACAAAATTAGGAGAGTTGACAAAATGAACACTTGAACAAAAGTAATTGATTAGGTATATAGCACAAGCTCTATGCTGCTGTGGAGTGGTGAAAAGGTGGGTGAAATGGGAAGCCATACTGCTCTTTCAGGCAAAGGAAAAAAATATTAATAAGACAGCAGTAAAATTTACAGCTTGCCAGAGGAACCTACTCTAGGAACAGTCTAGAATGGAGTCCTACAGAGGATGATGGCCTTATTTCAGCATAACACCTGAAGCTAAGTTGCATCTTCACCAAGCATCCAGTCCTTTTGTTGAAAGTTTCATGAATATCTCTTCTGAGCTGGAGCACCAGAACATGGGACATTTCTGAACTGATTTACTATGCTCACTGTGCAAGAGGAAGATCATTATTGTTAGGAACAGACTCCCAGGAAACAGTGAATTCTCATTGTGTATGCAGTCTTTCCATCTTGAAATCAGGCAGCAATGGAAAGAGATTAATTCCTAACTAGCTGAAACTTGTCAGACCACCTCCTGCAACATTTTCTGTTTTAGATTCTATTCTGTAAGGCACTTCACATTTCTCATTTTTAGGCAATGTATACAGTCTCTTCTGAGCACATGCACAGATGCACACACCCATACACTCACATACTGTACTGCATATACACAGACACCAGCCCTTGAAATATTTGCCTGCCCTTTTTCTCTTCACTGCACTCACTGAGGAAAAAAAAAAACTGATCTCCAGAGAAAGAAAGAAACTGTTGCTTGGGCTCTATTTTTTTCCTGCTTAATTCTGATATTTTTTAATAAGTAAAGTCTCTGTCTATAACTCCTGGTAATTAAATGGATATATTCATGTTCAGAGTCGGTTGATTGGAGTGGCCTAGAAGCTAAGTTAGTACGCAAAGAAATAATGCAAAAGTAATTAATTAATTAATTAAATTTATATGCTGCCCATTTCCCCCAGAGGGTGACTCTGGGCAGCTTACAAGGGCTTGCTTTGGAGATTCCCAATATAATGCACAGTTTCCCTTGTGGTCTGCCACCCAAGTACCAGCCAGGTTTGACCCTGCTTAGCTTTTCTGGAGATCAGTTAGAGTTGGCTAGGTGCTGCCACCTGAAGCATTTCTGAATAGCTGATCTTAACAAAAAAAGAAATCAAGACAAAGCAGTTCCATACTGCCTTTGTTTCCATGAATGCTTTATAATTTTGACTTCTTGTTTGACTCACCTGCAGGTGCATCTTCCAAACCCTATTACTTATTATCTGGCTGGTAGGAATATCAAGGCAGAATTAGTGCTTCTCTTTTAGTGTTTAAACCAACTGGCACAGGTTCTCCAAATTCTTTCCCAGGCACAGACCTGAGGCCTTTCACATGCCAACCATACACTTTACTGCTGCTCTCTGATTTCATACTCATATATTGTACTGACAGCCCTGAGTTGGCAGAACACCATAGCTATCTCCATTGTCAATCCCACCCTACCTCTTTTGTTCTATGCCAGTCTCCTGACTTCCCTTCAAGGTAGCAAAGCCTACCAGGTTTATACATTTTGAGATTGCCCTTGGGCAGTGTTGAAGTAAGGGAGGAACTTGACTTAAACCCAGTACAGCTAAAGACAGCTTTAGGTTGGGGATAAGTTGAGGGCAACAGTAGGGGCACTTAGCAGAATGTTGCCAGGCATATTTGTACCACGGTTAGGTGCAAGTGGGGAAAGACCTTGAGTCTGGGCTACAAAGATACACAATACTTGGGTCATAAGACTTAGAAGCCTCACCTGTTGAGTATTCAATGATTTGTCAACACCCCACTCCATATGACAGTTACAGGGGTCACTACAGCAGACATGTCCTTCCTGTGGATCGAAACCTATAAATATTAAAACTATCTTTGCAAAATGTGTGATGAGTGAGTGGGAAAATATGTCTGACAGCTGGTCAAGGAAGGATTTTTGAGTTTGAAAGGAAGAGAAGGATGTTGATGCTGGAAGGAAGCACAAATCTAAGTGCTTAGATGTTTGAAAGGGTTGTTGTGTGGAGAAGTTAATACTGTACTCACATAGGAATGTGCCTCAGGCCAATGTTCTGTATTGTAAAGGGTGGGGATTCAGCTGTCATGACTTTCTGTGGCAGAGAATGCAAAATATATATGATTCTTGTTAATTTTATCAGATGCAGACAACTGCGAATTTTGTACTGGCTGGAATTTGGGTTAAGATCCTGGAACACACATTTTTTAAGTCAAGGCTAAAATTGGTTTTTGTTTCCTAGTTCAGGGAACTAATAAGCAGTTACAGCATGGTGAATTTGTTAGATTTCTGTGTTTTAATTACTTCCATCATTAGAATCAAACCTTATAGTGAAATAAAGATGTTGAGGCATATATTTCCAGATGGTCTCTGGGTTGAGATTTAAGGCAGGCAACTTGTGCACAGCTGGGAGTAAGCCCAAGTACAAACAGTGGCCATATGTGTAAGCAACTGTACATATAATTAGGCTGCATTATATTGCCCAGTAATACACATTTTAGTCCACTTTGAGGATTGAAATCACAAGAACCTTGGGATACTGATATATCTGACCTGAGTCTTATGGATAGCAGTTGCTGGTTTTCTGATCTATTACAGCTTTTCTAGGATTTATAATAATAAATTAGCTTACCAAAGAGCCGGGTCCTGGAGGCTGAGGCTGCTAGGCTTCATCTGTCAGTAAAAGTGTAAATTTAAGGGCTGTGTCTGGTCTCTGTCTTTTTGCAGTCTGACCATGGTCCATCTAGCCCTCACAGCGAAAACTCTTCCAGCCTGCTGAAATGATGAGAAAGGGCTGTAGCTCATAATTGTGTGTGTTTTTTTTAAAAAACCTGAGCTAACAATTTCTGGGGACAACGTGAGTTGTAATCCATTACATCTAGAGGAAGCTTAGAGCAATTCCAGATTATTTGCCCCTGGACCACATATCAGTGTATTTTTCTGTGATGGCTCGTGAACTTTCAGTGAAGGGGTTTTTGTTAGTTATTGTTTTCCTTTTCTTGGTCTCACGACTTCTTGATTCTCTGGAGTAGGTTGCCTAGAGACCTGTGTAATGAAAGTGCTAATTCGACACCTGAAAGTGGTGAGCCTGAATCGGAGAGAAGACACACTGGCTGCTCTGAAAGTAGCTCTGCAAGCATGGTCAATAGCACCCTCCTTCGAGGTAATATAGCAGAACGTACAGTATTATGGGTTGGCTAATGCTTACCTAAGCTCTGGGCAACCATTTCTTTCTGGAATACGACTTAGGAGAACACTGCGGTGCCTAAACTAATTCAGCTCCTCTCTCTTCACAGTGGTATTGTATTGGGGCTCGATCCAGTTTAATTCGAAATCTGCAACGCTTGGTGAATTTACAGGAACCCTTGGACAACATCACCTTCAATGCCGCTGTTTGCTTGGGGTACCTGGACAAGTCCAATCCAGTTGCCCAAGAGACAATGCTTATATGTTTGACCCATACAGACCGGAAGAAGACGTTTCAGGTGGGGAAGGTCCACCTATGAATGCAGAGATTTAAGCTGCATTTCTATCTTCTCACAATGTTTCTAGGGTACCTCAGAAACATTTGCCCAAGAAGAGGAAGGGAAGAAAGTAGAATTAGATTTGACCTGCATTTTAATCAGAGAAGAAAGCTCTCTTGGGATTATTAATATTTCTGTTTAGAAACAGATTTTTTTTTAAATGATGTCCATTGTTCCCAGATGGCTTTGGTTTCCTTTTCCACCTGATAGCTGCTTTTCTAGTGACAGGCTTGGTGAGTAAGAGAAAAATGGTACAAATACAGAAAGCTGTACAAAGAATATTTGAATTATATCTGTTCTGTGGCTCCACCCAATGGTGGATGGAAGCCCTGATCCAGACTGAATTAGACAAGACATTGGGAAATGAATTATTGGATCTCTGAGGAAGAAAAAGGCTGCAGAAGATGGAATGGAAAATTGGATTGAGTAGTGTTAGGAGAACAGACTTAGCATTTTTTGCTGCAAATTTGCATTAAAAAGCTGCATTATTTTAAAAAAGGCAATAATAAACAGCTGAAGACAAAAGCGTAGGATTGAGCTGACAAGTGTTCAGATGCAGAATGATAGGTTCCTATGAAGTAAAAATATGTTGCCATTGGCCTTTCCCCACGTGCACTTAATGAAGGTACAGACATATGTGAGCAACCTCTTTTTTTCTACGTTTCCTCATAAGGTTACCTTTAAGTGATGTCCAACTCATAATTGATGCAGCTTAACATAATCCTTGGCTGTTTCAATGTTAAGTATTGTTGTCCTCCTCAAGCAATCAACAAGACCTGGCAGATTTTCCATGAGTTTGGTTTGACATAATTTACCAACCATTCAGTCAGCTGACTTTTAAGGGATGGGATCAGCCTGATACCTATTGGCCATTTTAGAATGGAGCAAGTACACCATCTCCTTGAATACTATCCACTAAGGCCATTCTTCTTTGAACTGTGGGAGAATCTGCGTCTTTAAAACTGGGTTCTCAACGTATACCAGCCAGGTCACCCAAACATTCTATGATTTGGAGCCCTGGATCAGTCCAGACAGCAGCTGATCAGTGGTAGTGAGGGATGGGAAGCTGACTGCCCAGTGGAGTGAGAGTAGGTGTGTGTGTGTGTGTGTGTGTGTGTGTGTGAGAGAGAGAGAGAGAGAGAGAGAGAGAGAGAGAGCATACTTTGCCACTTCATAGTATACCACTCCTCCACTCTAGTCAACTGTTGTTTGAGCTGCTTTTGAATATGGGTTTAGCACTCTTCTGGAAGAGTGTTAAACTCATGTTAGTTCATTTTGAAGCATTCTAAACTCAAGATGTAAAAATGCAAAATACATTTTGGAATCTCCTTTTTTAAGGTTTGTCAGGAGTTGTTGGACAAGTAGCTTTCAGTGCTGTTTTTAGCAATAGAGTTCAAAGGCTGGCCTAGGTAACCTGAGCCTTTCCATATTTTTCCTGAATGCCTGTGAACTAGATAGGCCTTTGGGGATGCAGCCTAAACTGTTCTCCTTTTCCCTAATCCTGTGACTGTGGATTATTCTATCCACATTTACCTCCTGTAGGCTTTGGTTATGCTGGTAAAGCACATGGGCATAATGAATGCTATCATTATCGGGAAGGTTTTAGATCATCTGGAATATTCTCCAGTGTACAAGGTAAGAGATTTTGTTCTATGGCTATGTGAGCCAGTACTTTATTCTTGGCAGTATTTCCTACTGATGTGCTGGTCTATAAATCTTTCTCCTACTGCACACCCTCTAGGTTTGGCTGTTTAAGATAGCTGATTAACTATCAGGCTTTGATATATAGATTCTAACTGAATTTACCTCTGTTGATCATTCATTCATTCATTCATTCATTCATTCATTCATTCATTCATTCAGTATCCCATCTTTTGTCCACATAATGATTAAGGTGGTGTTGTAAGCATTAAAATCACTATCCTCAAAAACAATATTGTATAGTTAACAATGAAAAACTTGGTGGATGAGTTGCAGAACTGGACAGGATAGGAGAGGCCTCAAGAACTGCATGGAGTCTGATTTTATCACTGTCAGGAATCTGTGCTCAGTCCAAGTTTTGTTTTAGACACTAGGGAAAGTTGCAGCTAGAACAATAAAAATAAAGATCTTGTAGTACTTTAAAGACTAACAGTTATCCAGCATAAGTTTTCAAAACTAGAATCCACTTCATCTATAGACAATTTATTAAATAATACAGTGTTCTACCCATTGATTTTTCTGCAAGAGACTAACATGAAAGTGGAAAAAGACCAAAGTCTTTCTGCAGACTTACTTAATAATAAGTCTGGACTTAGTGGGTTAATATTTGTAGGAAAGATCTGTGTGGTGCTGAACCCAAATACAGACCATGGTGCATATATAAAGACCACTATATATATTCCTTCTGGACTTCTCATGTGTGTGTATTTTTTTCATATGTTTGGTGCATGAACTTTAAGAAATAGTGATTGTGGATAATAGGGAACAGCCATTCCACTTGATGCAAAATAGTTTAATAAGGGCCAAGTTGAAGAAGCATGTGCTGAAATCCAAATCCCATTACTAGCTAAGTAGTTCACATTCCCACTGTCTCTTTCCATCCAGCATCGTGCTGATGCCACAAAATTGTTGACTACCATAGGGCTTGAAGTAATCCAACAGGAAGGACTAGAGGAGGATGTTTTTAATGTGCTGCTCAAGAAGTTATCTGATGAGCCTTTTCTGGTAAGAGTGAAGACATTTGCACCTATTTACTTATTCATTTGATTTATATCTTGGCTTTCCTCTAGGAGCTCAAGGAGGTGCACATATATTGTCTCCTTCAGTTTTCCCCACAACCACCACCCAGTGGGTGGGGTGGACTGAGAGAGTATCCAGCCCAAGCTCACCCAAATTATTTCCATGCCTGAAGGTAGACTTTGGCCTGGATCTCTCTGGTCCTAGTCTAACTTTGTAACCACTATATCATCAAATTGTGATGGTTCATTACTGAGTTCCATTAATTTTTTTCTTAGGACCCAGTTGTGATCAGAGGCCCTCTTCTGTCTTTCCCATACTTAAAGAAGAATATGGTTGAAGCTGTCTATTCCTCAATACTTTTCTTTCTACTACATTTATTCTGTACAGTAGACAAACTTCATCAGTCAAGGGAAGGGCAAGTCTGTCTGAGGTTCCACTGGGTGATTGTTGCTGATCATCTAGCCTTACAGGTAGAGCTCTTTGTGCTAAGCCAGACGTGAAGAAGGTTCCCCAGAGGGTTCAGGTCCATGCCCTCAAACCAAGATGCTCTGTTGGTTTGGTAATAATATACCTGGGTCATGCTGAAAACCACTCACACAGATAGCTTAAGATTTAGCATGTTAAATGAGTTGTTTGAGTTGGGCAAAACTGATCTATGCTCAGAGTCAGATGGAGATTAAAATCAGGGGACCTGGCCTGCATGGAAGATGGTGAGCGACATCTAAGCACGAAAGAGGAGGAGGAGGAGGAGGAGGAGGAGGATTATTGATGTGCAGCTGATATGGAGAAAAGCACAACAATTTTACAGGAAGAAAAGAGATGACAAGCCATGAATGTGGCATAGCAAAAATTCCCAGATTGGTATTGCCCACGGGCTGGGGAACTTTCATGGAAGGCGATCCTATGCATATTTTCTGTTGAGTCTGTTGAGAACAGAAGGACAAATGTGTCTGGGAGGAAGATTGGCACGGGTAGAAACTGGCACCCTGTTTCATATTCTGCTGCAGGTCAAATTTTAGGCACATCCTGCTGCTATCCAGCTGCTGCTCTCATTTCTGTTCTAACAGACCTTTGCAAAGTTCATGTTGTATCTTAATCGTGAGGCCTTTATAGCTGTGTGTTTTGAGAAGAAATGGGCATAGTTTTTTATCCAGGACCATTCACTGAAGTAATTAAAATAGCAGCCTCCCCAAATTTACCAGAATTTCAGCTCTCATATTTCCCAACTTCAGAAGCTGTTTATTGTACTCAAATTCAGGGAGCTGAAATCCTAGCTAATATGGAGATGGGAAAGCTGTCCTAGAATGGGAGTGTTTATTTGTTTTTCTGTCCATGTTATACTGCAGTGCTGCTCAGCTACCCCAGAATGCAGTTGACACATCTCAGGTGCTGTGCTGTAATCTATGGATAATATTGATTTTTTTTTTATTGATTATGTGCCATCAAGTCATTTTTTACTCTTAGAGACCACATAGATAGATTTTCTCTATGATGATCTATCCCTAACCTGTTCTTTCAAGTCTCCCAATGGTGCACCCATTGCCACTATAACTGAGTCCATCTATCTTGCTGCTGGTCGTCCTCGTCTTCTCTTTCCTTCCACCTTTCCCAGCATCAGAGCGAGGTCTTTGCATACAGCAGCATAAAAAGCTCATCAGAGTGCATCCCTAATTTCACTGCAAGGGGAGCATTATGAAAGGGGCTCGCTAGCTAGATGGGAAGTAGTCCTTGGGTTTGTCAGGAGTTTGACAATATAACTGGAGCATTGTATGGTCAGCCCTGCAGTTGTAGTTGTGTTAGTGTTAGCCACTATGTAGGTATGTAGTTTTTTGGGTTATGTAGTTATAACTAATAACCA